CTATTTGAAAAGCTGGTATCAGAATTCCTCATTTTATTCATAAATGTACCCTGATTTCATCACGGGCTGTAAAAGATGACGCCCCATCCCACCCCTACGAGAGGAGATAAGGACAGTCTGTTGAATCACCTGGGGGTTCTGGGCAGGGAGTGTTATGTGTCAGCTCACCCAACCCTGGAACGCTGAGGACCTCTGCATTCTCAGAGACCAAGGACCACCTCCTTCACGCAGTGTTCCCAAACCGCTCCAGCCTATGTGGGTCTGTCCCTTCCTCGACTTAATGCAGTTCAGCTCCACAGACACTGATTACCTGGGTAGCACGTGTCGGGGCTGTGCTCACCTCCAGGACTGTAAGATGAATACCACCAGCCTACTCTACCCCCAGGGCTACTGTGGGGTGGGAGGATGAAGTCCTATAAAAATGGGGATATAAGGGAAGCTGGCCTCTGGGGGAAGTCACTCGAGGCGCTCATGGTTGAGCAGGGATGCAGGGAGGGAGAGGGTGGAGCAGAGGCGGGGCCCTGGGCCTTACCCTGGGGGCTTCAAGATTGCCTGTTACCTACCAGGAGGCCACTGGAGGCTTTTGAGCAGGTCGGTATATCTTGGGAAGATCGTGTGGCAGCAATGTGTGGTTGGAATATACAAGTACAGGCCTGGAGACAGGTAACATTTAGAGGAAATGAATTCCATGCCAGCAATCAGGACCCCAGCTATAACCATAGCAATGGGGATGGAAAGGAGAGGACAGATTCGGGAGCCACTGAGGAGGTGGGCCCACCCAATGGTCAGTGATAGCAGCATCGCAGCGGGAACAGGCTCTGTCTTGGGCGACCCTCTGAAATGCACTCTCTCCACCACTGAGGCCTTTCAGAGGGAGAGTGGGTTAAACAGAGGAAGGCAAAGGCTTTGGATCTGGATGTGCCAACCTCGAAGCCCTCCGGGGCATCGGTCCAATCGACAATGGGTGGCCTCCTCCATCCTCCTGCCCAGAAAGTATTGGGGAGCAGTGCTGCAGGACAGTGGTCTCCCTCCCGGCGCATGGATGGCTCGTTTCCAGGCGTCCCTGTCCACACTCAGTCCACCCACGAGGAGTTACTTTCACCACGAAAAGTGTTGCCCGGTACCCAGGTGACATCCCCCCTTGTCGACTTCCAGGGCAATAGAGCTAGAGAGTCAACCCAAGGACATTTGACAGTAAAGAAGATTTCCTCATGCACGCATGTTCGCCAATGCGATTCTTCGGAGAGCATTCCCATGCAGACTCTGCTCCTGGGCCACCTAAAGAACAGTGAAGCAGGCACAGGGAAAGCCCTGCCAAGAGGAGATCCCATTTCCTCTGCTCTCTCCAATCCCATGCCTCAAAATAACCCAACTAAACGTGTTTTGCTTTATTCAGAGTTCAGTGAACGCCCACGATGTAGGAGAGGGAGATTCTTCCAAATTCTAGACATAACAGAAGACAAACCTACTCATTTATGCTGGATGCCAGTTGCTCAAAAGAAAGCATGAGGACAGGGAAGTTCTGACAGATTAAACCATCACATTTCCTCTGCTCTCTCCAAACCCATTCCTCAAAATAACCCAACTAAACGTGTTTTGCTTTATTCAGAGTTCAGTGAACGCCCACGATGTAGGAGAGGGAGGTTCTTCCGAATTCTAGACATAACAGAAGACAAACCTACTCATTTATGCTGGATGCCAGTTGCTCAAAAGAAAGCACGAGGACAGGGAAGTTCTGACAGATTAAAAAAGGAACATGGAGAATCTTCATTAGTTCAAGTGCTTGCAAAACAGGTAAAAGAGACCCAAACCTCAGACGGCTTAAACAATTAGGAAACGCATCGGCTGACCCAGTTGGAAACGCAGAGACAGGGTGGGCTTCAGCGTTGGGTGGTTCGGGGGCTCGGGTTTGTTTCATCTCTCTGCTGTGCTTTGAAGTGTTGCCGTCAACCTTAGGTGAGTAGGAGGTGGCTGCTGAAGTTCCAGACTCCACACCCAGACCCAACCGTGCCCAGAGGAGGAGAGAGACTGGGTCTTTCTGTGGCTCTGTCCTAGGACAGGAGAAACCCTCCGGCTCCACCTCCGCAGACCTCTGCCCACTTCTCATTGGTAAGCACTGGCTCTCAGGCCCCCTCTGATCCAGTCACTGGCAGAGGGAACAGAAGGGTATCCCTGGAGCTGAGGCAGGCACACAGCTCCCTGTGGGAGGCCTGAATCAAACCAGATGCCACAGGAGAAAGGGGAAATGGGGGCTTCACAGACAGCAAGCAGGGACCCCTGCAGACCATGAGAATCCATTCCTGAATTGCTGATACTTAGAACAAGGAAACCATGAGCTGATACTTAAGAAATTGCTCTTAAATACAAGGAATTAAAAATGATAAAAGATGATCAGAAAAATGAAAAGAAAAAGTAAGCTGCACCAGACGACAACACCACAAATCTCATAACGCAAGACCACACAGTCTCGGAGTCTGAGGAGCACCCCAACAACCCAGGGCCTGTCCATCTCCTCGAGCTCCCGCTCCTGCTTGTGCAGCTGTCCCCTCACCTTGGCCAGGTACAGCCTGGAGTCCTCCTCGCAGGCCCCGTGTCGCTGCAGCAGCTGGGCCTCCAGGAAGAGGTCGTTGCTGTAGAAGCGGCCCTCGTGCTCCCTGTCCAGACTCTCGACCACGGCCATGAGGGCCGCCAGCTGTCCCCACCGCTGCTCTCCGCCCGCCCGGTTGTTGAAGGTGTAGCACCTCCTCCCGCACTCCCTCACCAGGCCCTTCAGGCTCTGGTTGTCCGTGTTCGCCACATACTCATCCAAGGACTCGTCCACTAGGTCTTCTTTGTGGGTGAAGAGGATGACCATGTGTCTCATGACCCCTACCCCAAAGACCTCCTTCACCCTCCTCACCACTGCCATGTCCTGGGCCGTGAAACGTCCCAGCTGGGTCACCAGGAGCAGCACGTGGGGCCCTGGGGTGGAGAGCAGGTAGCAGTCCCCGATGTCCTTGTACACCTCTTGGGTCTGGGCCTTTGACTCAAAGATGGGGGGGGTGTCGACCACCAGGATGTTCCTCTCGCCCCACATGCCTGTCTCCCCCTGGCATCTCCTGGTCACGGCCTGCGCCTTTGTCTTGGACTCAGACACTGGCTGGCCGAGGATGCTGTTCCCGGTGGCACTTCTCCCACTGCCTGTTTTGCCCACCAGGAGGATCCTCAACAACGGTATTCCTAGAGTTAAGCAAGCTTCTCCACTGCCTATTAGGGCATGTGAAAAGTTCATGTATAATAAATAGTTTTTGAAGAGGAAGAAAACAAAAGACAAAAAGGAAAAAGGCCCAGAGGATCCAGCATCTGCTGTCATCCCTGATACTCACATGCAGAGCATAAGGGAACTCGCACAGGATCTGTGGAATTAATTACCCAGCTCTGGCCAGAGTCCTAGGGATCTTTCCTTTTGGGGCTGCTGAATTTTGCCACCCTTTCCAGAAACTTCCCTCTGTTCAGTTCCTACCCAGAAGGCCGAATACCCACAGGCTGCTGTGGGACATTTCCTGCCGCCATTGGGTTGCTTATCCCACAATTTCTACTCCTCCCAGCCCTGCCTGGTCTCTACTTTACAAGATGACAGGGTTTTATAGGGAAAAACTTGCCCTCACTAAAAAGAATGTAACAGTTACTAACTTACTATGTCCTATTTCCCGGGGGGAATGAATTTCCTTTGCCTTGGGGTGAATATAGGTTTGTGCCTTTTCCTGCCAGGTGGGAAGCTTGCCCCTGGTGCAGAGTCCGGGCCCATGGCTGCTGTGAAGGCTCCACCAAGCCTAGCTTCCTCACCTGCGGTGATGGCACCTTCTCCACCCATCTGAAGGCTTTCCATGTTGTTCTAGAGGGGGAAACACACAGGAATTCTTTACACTGGAGTTGGATGTAATATCAGACACAAAACACCACATTTTATAGATGAGGAAATTGAGACAAGAAAAAAAACCCTGCAGAGATCACACATTATTTAACGGAGGGGCTGAGACTAAAACCCGGCTGCACTGGCCCTCAGATAGTCTCAGCAGTAGACTGAACTTCCTACTGAAGAATATACAGACAGCCCCGGGACATAAGCATGTGTGTGTGCTTCCCATGACCTGTCCAGCTGCTAGGAGGCAGTGAAGGTATGCTGTCCACCAGAAAGCCACACCACTTGGTCTGTCACTTCCTACTGAGCATCTGGCTGTCCGGGGCTCTTGTCTGCCTCTAGGGTCTCAGCACAGGTACCCAAACTCAAGTTTGCCTGGCAAAGTATCCCCCTTCAGTAAACTCACAAAAGAAACTCGTCCCTAAGTTTCCATGGTGATGGTGGAACCGAGTGTGACCAGCCATCCCGGTTTATCCAGGACTGAGAGGACTCTCAGTGCTGAAACTGGGAAAGTCCCAGCAAATCATGATGGGTTGTTCATCCCAGGAGTAGGAGATTTTCAGGTCCAGGCTTGGGCGGGGTGGCAGGCACATCAGTAATCAGAAGGAATAGCCAATTTGTCAGGCTCGGGTCAGTGTGTGGTGCTACAGAGCAAGGTCGGTGCTTCTGTGTTCTCAGCTCAATCTTAGACCAGTAGCTACATCAGGGGCCTCTCTCTTCCAGCCCCCCACCTTTCACTTCCCCCTTCTTTCTCTTTTTTTTTTTTTTTGCTGTCTTTTTTTCATGTCCGGCAACGGATCACAACCCTCAGTGTCGCGCCCATACCGGACCGGGACCGGCAACGGGATCGCAACCCTCGGTGTTGCTCCCGCACCTTGCTCAGCCAGTGAGCAGGAACCGGTCTGTATGTGGGATCCGAACCCTCGGCGGGAGCGCCGCCACGCTCCCAAGTGGCGCACTGTAGCAGGGCGCCACCGGGCCGGCCCACCCCCTTCTTTCTCTTTTTTTTTTTTTTTGCTGTCTTTTTTTCATGTCCGGCAACGGATCACAACCCTCAGTGTCGCGCCCATACCGGACCGGGACCGGCAACGGGATCGCAACCCTCGGTGTTGCTCCCGCACCTTGCTCAGCCAGTGAGCAGGAACCGGTCTGTATGTGGGATCCGAACCCTCGGCGGGAGCGCCGCCACGCTCCCAAGTGGCGCACTGTAGCAGTGCGCCACCGGGCCGGCCCACCCCCTTCTTTCTCTTGATCCTTTTTTCCCTCCTACCCTCTACGTCTGGTGCTCAGGGAGAAAGTCCATCCCGGCACCACAGAAGAATGACTTCTAAGTCTCCACTAGTGGGAAAAACAGACATGACCCTCTCCCAAGCTATATCGGGACCTGGCTGTGTGCAAAGTATCAGGATATTTTATGAGTCTGTAAGTGTGGATTCTCAGGAACTATGGCAGGTCAATTGAAAAAATGCTTTTTATAAAATAAATGGATTTTTCTAATGCTCCGTGGGATCACAAAGATGCTCGCTAGCCCCTCTATGTGTGAAGTTGGTCAGGGATTACCTTGGCAGGAAAAATAAATTAATAAATAAAATAACTCTGGAATCATTCTAATTTAAGTACTAAATGCCAAAACCCAACTTCTATCAGACAGTTCCACAGTAATTTCTTTGTAACTAACTCTCCTGAGAGTATTTTTAGCAGCAGGAGAGAGAAATGGCAGCAATTTACTGCCTCTTGGCATCTCTCTATTCTTTAGCCGGGTCCCATGGAAACTATTCTAATGTGGTTTGCAAAATCTGTCTCAGAATATGCACAATTTGAACAAGAGTGATCCAGGTTGAGGAACCATAGTACTGATCACACAACTCAGGTCCTGCCTTTACATCCAGCCAAGTGGTGGCCTTTGGGTGAGCCTTTTATATTGTCCTGCAATCCATGAGGGGGCCTTTCACACCCAGCACGATGGTCAGTCTTGTGTGCCAGCTTGGCCAGGCCATGGCACCCAGTGGTCTAACACTAACCTAGGTGTGGCTGTGAGAGTGCTTTGTCGATGTGGTTGACATTCAGTAAAGATGAGGTGGGCCTCGTCCAATCAGTTGAAGGCCATAAGAGCAAAATCTGAGGTTTCCCAGAGAAGGAATTCTGCTTCAAGACTGTGGTGTCATCTCCTGCCTGTGTCCAGCCTGCCAACCTGCCCTGCAGAGTTTGGATTTGCCAGCCCACACAATCACGTGAGCCAGCTCCTTAGATTACATTTCTTAGTACATATATTCTGCTGTTTCTGTTTCTCTGAAGAATCCTAAAGAATAATCAAAGCTAAATTCTCACTACTGAAGCTCAGAGAAAGGGCAAACCTGAACTTAATTCTCATCTTTTTCTCGTTCTTTTCTAGGATGAGTATGGGGAGGTTTGGGGTCTTCTTTTTTTAAAAAAATGTGATTGCAGGAGGAGATGGCAAATGGAGAAACTAATGTTTTCCTAGACATCAGCTTGCTTGTGATGCTGATGATTTTGTAATCGAGACCCTCTGTTTTTCCACACTTTGTCCTTGGATCATCTTGGACAGTGGTCAGCAGAAAGGGCCAGGGACGAGGGGCTCCTAAGCATCCGAGGGAAACGCCAAGGTACCAGGTGAGTGACTGAGAGGTGTGTGCTAAGGGGCAGACAAGGTGCTGCTGACGGAGCTGCAGAAAGGGGGTGGCAGAACATTGGAGCTGATATTCCTAAACTCAGAGAGATGGGGGGGAACCTCCGCAATCTCGTGATGCTATCCACTCCTTTTAACTATGGGGGAACTGAGACTTCTGGAGTTAAGCAATGACATGAAACCAAGTCTGTACCCAAGGCTGCGAGATGAAAGGATATGAAAGAGAGATGGCAAACAAGGGGCCCGAATGTGCCACCTGCCCTTGTGTGCTGGAGGGTCACTTCCATCTGGCTGCTCCTCAGCCCCTTGGACAAGAGGAGCAGGGCTACTCACGTGCCATGTTTGCCAAGTGACTGGTAGCAGGACATGTCCTCCAAGAAAGAGAACCTGAAGTTGCAGCTTTCTCAGAGTCCAACCTGAGCAGAAAGAGAAATGAAAAAGTGGCTCCTTCTCAAGAAACAACAAGGTTTTACCCATTTTTCTCAATTTTTTTTTTTGAGGATTTTTTTCCTCTCTAGTCACAGTGCCACCTCACTAGTCCAAACTGCCACACCTCCAGCCAAGTGGCTGTCCTGGTTTCCCAACAGCATCCCCTGCCCTGCTCCGTCCCCTACAGATAACCCTGCCCAAGGTGCCTTCTAGATGTAGATATCACTATCATCATACTCCCCAGTACTCAAAAGCCTATTTGGGGCCCACCATCAACCCACCTCCCTCGTCTGATATCCATCAATCCTCCTGTTCATTCATTGCAAAAAGTGACTAAACACTTCCATTGACCAGACTTTTCACACCCTTGGAGGATGGTTGGGCCACTTTAAAGAACAGCCCCTGCCCCAGGCTGGGAAAGCGTCATCACCGGGTGAACCACGAGAGCGGATTCCCTGCACCTGCTGAGGAAGCTCTGCTTGGGCCGCATCTCCAGCCTGCGGGACTGGGAGGGGCACATGGGGATGGGGAGGCAGAGGCCACCCTGGGGAAAACCGTGAAATGGTCTCAAACTGGCTTGTTGATCTTGGGCTGATTATCTTACTCTCATTTGCCAAAAGTCAACATAACATCCTCCTTACTCTCCTCACTGGAGTTTCCTGAAGGCAATTAGCACCCTGATCAGGAAAACATAATGTGCAGTTATGAGAACCTGCCACTGCAGAAGGGTCATCTCCCAACAATAAAGCCCCTGCTGTTTATAATTTCATTCTGTCTGGCGGGGGGGGTGGGGAGGGAGGGATAACTAATCTTAAAAAAAAAAAAAAAGAAAGAAATGTATTTCCTTATCAGAAAAAAAAGCAAACGTTTTATGTGAACCTGAGTCCTGCTGTTGAAATCTTTCTCCCCTCTTTAAAATGGAAACATTTCCATCAAGTTGAGTGGTGTCAAAAATAAGCAATGAGAAGGAAATAGGATTAAAATCAAAAGGTGAATTTTCAGCCTCTTCTTCAGAGGGCATCCCTTCCCTTGCTCTCAAAGTCCCATATGTACACCCAGATATGGGTGTGGCAGCCACTATGTGCATAGATAAAAATGCTTTGCACAAACACAAGAAATAAGCTTATTAATATTACCAAAGAGCTGGTGCCTGAGTTCATTCTATTCACTATTGCAGGTTCTGAAAAATGCGGTATCAGTAATATTTTCAGCTTGCACTTATTTGGGACTTTAGGGTATATAATTCTCAATTCTGATTTAGCAATAAAGAAACTGAAGTTTAGAAAGATTAAGTGCCTTGTCCAGGTTGACACAGGTTGTTTCTGGTAGAACTGGGGGAGAAAGGCAGGGGGAAAGAGAGAAGACAGAATGAAAGAAAACAAAGCAAGCCCTGTTACCTGGTAGGTCCTGGAATATCTTGCAAGGTCTCCAGATGGCCTTGCAGCAATCCCCCCTCCTCTTCTTGGAAGTCTCTCTTTCAAGTTTCCAGTCTCTCCATAAAAACACAAGAGCAGTGAGAAATTAAAAAAACTGTCCACAAATTTCGTCTGCCAGAAAGAGAGGGACCATGTTCCTCGGGGACAGGAAAAGAATGATGTGTGTGGGTTTCCTCACAAAGCTGTCCCCAGAGGGTGACCCAGAAACCCTCAGAGACAGCCAGAGGAAGAAGCTGTTTTTACCTAGCTCTATTTCCTTTTTCCCACCACATCTCTACAAGCTTTTGTGCAAAACAAATTCTCTTTTCTTTTTTTTTTTAAAGATGACTGTTAAGGGGATCTTAACCCTTGACTTGGTGTTGTCATCACCACACTCTCGCAGTGAGCTAACCGGCCATCCCTATATGGGATCCGAACCCGTGGCCTTGGTGTGATCAGCACCACACTCTCCCAAG